AAGCAGTTAAGAGCTTAATAAAATTAAGTACAGTATCTAATGTACCATTAATAAATAAAAATAATGTCTGTTCTCAAATATATAAGCCTCTACATTAATTAAATTCAAAACTTCACTAGTGTTGCAGTTAAAAAAAAAATATTCACGCAGAAGACTACTTTTAACAATCTTCTTGACTACATATAGGATGCAACTGTAAACCCATTTAAAATATTTAATGTTATGAAACTTGCAGCATATAAAAAAAATCATTTGTTTTCACCAACAAAAACAATGTCAATTAAAATACTGGAGAAGAGGCATAGTTTCAATATCTCCCTTCCTTTGTACATATGTTTCAATATCTCCCTTCCTTTGTACATATGTTTCAATATCTCCCTTCCTTTGTACATATGTTTCAATATCTCCCTTCCTTTGTATATATGTTTCAATATCTCCCTTCCTTTGTACACATGTTTCAATATCTCCCTTCCTTTGTACATATGTTTCAATATCTCCCTTCCTTTGTACATATGTTTCAATATCTCCCTTCCTTTGTACATATGCTGAGCTATTAATCCCAAGACTACAAATTTAAATTCCAACCTATTATCTAAAATAAGTGAATCTTTAAAGAAAATGAATTTATCTAGGTTCGAGCACACACAAGATTGCTTATGCTGTTCTGAAATTGAATATGCCTTATGCAGTACAGTATTTGGACATTTACAGGTTTGGTCAGTAAATTATCAAGAACAATTGCTCTAAACTTTGTATTTTCCAACCCCTATCATCTCTAGCCTAACTGGCTAATCTTCAATATATTACATACATGCTAATACAGAAAACATATCCATTACAAGACGAATTTAACATTAAATTTAGTATGGTAAATTGCAAGGGGGGCAGAGGAAAGAATGCAAATTAAATCTAATGAATTCCATAAATGGTAAATGGCAAGGCGAGTAGAGGAAAGTATGCGAACTAAATAAACAACGTACCACAAATTTCTTGAGCTTTAAAGCAGAAAATGCTGATACAGTACAATATTGTACAGTACTTTCAATCTTTTTCCATAAAAGTTAATTTTACCAAAAAATCTAAGAATTTACCAATATAAGGCATTAAGAACATAAGGGGAAATGCAAGGGCCTACTGGTCCATACAATGCACCTTCATGAGTTTACTTAACCATAAAAATTTTATGTGCTCTCAAATTTTTGCTCTTCGGCCGAACAAGAACATCAAAGACTGGCAATTACCAAGTTTTAAATTTTACATTCCAATACAAGCATTTCTGTATTATCAAATTACAGCCATACTGCTCAAGGTAAACACCCAGAAACCTCAAAAGATTATATTAATTACAGTAACACTTGAAAGCACATGGCCTTCCATATTTTAATATTTAGCAATAACATTACATTTCTAATTTAAGAAATCATGCAATTCAAACAATTCCACACATTAAAAGAGTAAATCCTTGTAACAGCACTCTGAACTAAACTTTAATTCAATCTACACACCTGGCAAAGTTAACAGCAAAAAATTACTATGTTGTATGGTGCTACTGTACTGATATTGACATGAAGTAGTTGAAATTGATGCCAAGAGGATTTTGGGACGTAACTTTGTATAAAAAATTCAGATAAACACCAACTTATAATTTCACACTATATAAAAAGTCAAAATATAGTTTTGGTTTAGTGTTAGGACTCCATGCAGTCAGTTTAAAAAAAAAAAAAAAGCCTTGTTAACAAAAAACTAGCAACACTGCCTACTTTTCTTTTGTATGCCATAATTTAAAGCAAGCCTCTTTGACCTAGAAAAAACTAAACATTCATCAGACAACATAATCCAACTGTAATTGAATTGAACTTCCAACAAGTCAAAAATCTATTATCGAATATAATTTCTTGTTAAAAGTACTGTGATCATTAACAGCAACACAAAAACCATGCAAATATTTCCAAACAAAATTTCAAAACCATCTAAACCCACACTAGAGAAAAAAAAATGCATGTTAATAATGCATGAAATTGTATTAAAACTTCAAAACCTAATGTTTGCAATTTCAAACCGTTTTCTTTACCCGAACTCCTCATCCCTGTGGACAAGGAAAAAGTTAGAAAACTCCATACAGTACAGTATTTGCAAAGTAAAACAATACCAATGTAAAATGTTTATCAAGATTTGCACTACATAAAATTTGATCAAATTGAGATAATTATTAGGAGAGCACACAAAGCCAGTATGACTGCATCATGCCAATCCACGCATCACTGGAGTGGACCGTATTAGGTCCACCACACACTTGCAAGATGCGTTTTAAACAAACCACTTTCTGGGCATGTAGCCTAATGATATTGGATGTTTGATCCAGGCTAATAAGGTGCAACATTTTATACAGACTTACTGGGCAAAAATATTAAAAAGGAATCATAATTAATCCTATCTGTTCATAAAATTAGTCATGTTACTCAAGTACTTTTATTTTAATACTGTATACCCAATTAGCAATGTACCTCATATTGATCCTAACAATCCAAGGTTCATCATACAGGTCAGTTTCAAATTATATTTAAGCACTGGGATATGAATTGGTATCCAACAATGCGCACAGCACAACACTGCCATACTTAAAATACACAAGACCTGATATATTTCTATGAAAGCGCTGAGAAATAACTTGAATTTTATATCTACAGCATGAACAAGACCAGAATAACTTTCTTCATGATAAAAAAAAACTGGTATAATGTTAAATTGTATAATAATTCTTTAACTATTCAATGAACTTCAAAATGGTAAGGTTCAAATTAAATAAGTACAGCATATGAATTTTGAATCATTAAAAACTAATATACTACTGCAATTAAACCAACAATTACAGAAAAATTAAATGCTTAATATCAAAATTTGTACTTTAGACTACAATATTTATGAATGATTACACATTGCCATTTTGCACGGTTCTGGTACAGTGTACTGGTATATTACTGCAAAGGGCAGGGCAACCTAGATATGGGTCAAGCTCTGCTATGAAAATGAACAAATCCACAAGGGCCATGACGAGAATTCGAACCTGCATCCGAGAGCATCCCAGACGCTGCCTTAATCGACTGAGCTACGACATTGTCAAAAGCGTTGAAACTCAAGTTCTACTGAACCTACTGGATCCTGCTGTCTCAGAGACAAACCAGGGTTTTAAACAACAACACGCTATTGTGATTTGTGTGTGCTCTGCTATGTACACTGTCACCAATCTAGTTTATGGCACACCCAATGGTGTTTAACTAGACAGTGAGACATCTGCCGTGATACAGCTTGAAATATGGGAGTAAAGTAATTTATAAATTTACTGTACAATTACAGGATCGTATATAATGAAATCATTTTGGCATTTCTTGTAGCCTACAATATTGAAGTGCAATAATTTTGGAATACTGTGCTTTTATTTAAAACAAATTTTATCAATAGCTTCTAAACAGGTAGTCGTCTGCTCTGTTGGTAAAATTTAAATATTGCTAATTATGTTGTATTTTTTTAACTATGATACTCTATTACTTTTTACTCTTTAAATTGTGTATTTACAATACATGATTTCTATTAAATGGGCAACTGCATCAGCTTCATTGAGATAAGTGAAAAATGCAGTACTAGAAAAATGGTAGTACTTAGTACTACCTTCATCCTACATCTCATCCATAGATGTGATCAAACAGCATTAAACAACTGAGGATTAGTGAACGCAATAGACTAACAATGGTAGTACCCTGGCATTGAGGAATGTTAACATTTTTAGCATGGCTTTACTTTTTTTCAATATTGTATGCTAATTTGAGAAACTTTAATGATACAAAATTTAGGTGGAATTGAGTACTTATCTTTTATTTGGTTTGTGGCCTGGACCGTGACCAAAAGGCCACGGTCCAGGCCACACCGGACCTGGCCAAAAGGCCACGGTCCAGGCCACACCAGACCTGGCCAAAAGGCCACGGTCCAGGCCACACCAGACCTGGCCCGAAGGCCACGGTCCAGGCCACACCAGACCTGGCCCGAAGGCCACAGTCCAGGCCACACCAGACTTGGCCAAAAGGCCACGGTCCAGGCCACACCAGACTTGGCCAAAAGGCCACGGTCCAGGCCACGCCAGACTTGGCCAAAAGGCCACGGTCCAGGCCACACCAGACCTGGCCCGAAGGCCACGGTCCAGGCCACACCAGACCTGGCCCAAAGACCACGGTCCAGGCCACACCAGACCTGGCCCAAAGACCACGGTCCAGGCCACACCGGACCTGGCCCAAAGGCCACGGTCCAGGCCACACCAGACCTGGCCCAAAGACCACGGTCCAGGCCACACCGGACCTGGCCCAAAGGCCACGGTCCAGGCCACACCAGACCTGGCCCAAAGACCACGGTCCAGGCCACACCGGACCTGGCCCAAAGACCACGGTCCAGGCCACACCAGACCTGGCCCAGGTCACCATTACAGAACCGGCCACCGGCGGCCTGGCCAACACCCCTCCACAACACACACACACCCTTGCCCACTATACCCCCGCGGGGCCACCCGTGGACCTATAATACACTTCATACACCTATAATACAACAACATTCACGGCCATCACAAATACACCTTAATACCCTCCCGAGGGGGACGGGGGGCCACTTGTCACGTCCACCCCGCCATTCCCACCCTCCAAAATACCCACAAACCGGGGGTTTAAACCCCTAAATAACACAGTAGAGCAGCCCAGGGCCACCAAATGGGGGTGAGAGGGAGGGAGGCGGCCCCGGCCGGCAATAAATATAGCGGCCAGCTGATCGCTCAACCTGACCCAGTGGCCGCCATTACACCCCCACACCAGCGCCAAGTCTCTCACCTTCCCCGCCATATTACGGCAAAACCCCGGCCCTCACGCCCTCCCTCATCACCCAGGCCCCGCCGCCCAGCCCTGAGCGGGGCTCCCGGCGGGCGAGGGGGCCAACGAGCGGCGGGTAAGCCGGAAATCACTTACTTTTGGTGATCGTATTTGTCAGACATCTTGACTGTGACAGTAAGTCCTTTCAAAGGACCATGCATGTGTCTACCACATGAGTGTATTCCTCCGCCCCCGCTCTGCCCTCCCAAATCACTCTATTTAACTCCAAAATTAGCCTTCCTTGCACCAGAAGGTGCCAAATTTGGTTAAATACGTTTTCTCATATGCTAAAAGTCATTGTAATGGCCTGCATTTGGGGATATTCGTGTTCGATTTAAGGGACTAGTTTATATAATGCAATCCCATCATGGCGGAAGATGTCGTCATCGAAGATGCCGCAAGGGCGGGGGATTTAAATGATATTAGTTGAATATTTGCCCTTTTGCAGTTAGAAATTGATGTGTTATCACTCTGGTAATGATAACATGTTATCACTCTGGTAATGTTATCACTCTGGTAATTATATCTTATAAACTAATTTTACTATAGGTACTCTCAGTCTTTTCATATAGAAGCTACATATATTTTACCACAGTATACAGACATTAGCTTCAGAATTATAATATATAAATTTGAATACAGTAATTATAAAAAAAAAATTGAATAACTTAAATAAATTTAGTCCTAATCTGCTTAACTTTCTGTAACTGGTATCTTTTCTATAAAGCCTGAAACATTGCAATTACTATTTACAAACAAATTAAATGAATTAAAGTGTATTATCATATTTTAAAATACTTTTACATATTTTTTTTATTTCTAGCTTATATTTCAATAGGAAAAATACACAGGCAGAAAGTCTACTAATTTTAAAAACAATAAATCGTTTATCATTAATTAAAAACTAGAATAAAGGAACTACAGAAGGCCAATTGACCCATACATATACAGCCATACATATACCTGAGGCTGCTTTACCATACATACGAGGCAGCTCCAACACTGCCATACACCATCGCGTGTGACAAATGCTATAGTGCCCTTATCCTAACCTTCCAGAGGACTAAAAAACGCTAAACGGGACAATATGCCAATTTCGCGAGCCACTTCCACTTTCTAGTACGACACTTTTTGGTCTTAGGTCAAAATGCAACGTACTATTAGGAGGACGAGTTGGATGGACACAGATATGGCTGAAAACGAAGGACAGATGCCTCTATCGTCAAACTCTGCAATTGGCCAGACAACATTCTCGCTACTAATATTCAAAGTACAGTATGCAGAGGGCAAGACCTCGTATAGACCTTGAGGAAAAGTATCCTCAGCTCAAACTTCATAAGTGAATATATCCTAAGGCCCGAAGATGAAGCAGCTGTGAATATTCTTATGAATCACGGGGAATGCGACGAACTCAAGCCAGAGGACAAAAGAAAGAAAATCACTGTCCTACACTATTTGTGTAGGACAGATAGTGTAGGACAGTGCTAGACCCTGTGCTAGACTCTGTCATTCAGAAAAGATGAATTATGTGCTGTCAGCAGAAAGATGTCGGGTAAAATCTACTAAGAAGACCAAGTCCTGGTCACTGTAAAGGACCAAGTCCTGAGAGACGTGATCACGGTATTAGGGGCGTGTTCCAACACAGGCCTTACACCCCAGAGCCCCTCAGATACTTCACATATCAGAGACTTGACCATCACAACAATGGCTGCCAACGCCCAGTGAGGTGTAGGGTCTGCAGCCAGCCTCACAACACTAAAACATGCAATGATAAACACAAGGTCAACCAGGTAGTGCAAGCCAAGTGCCCAAACAGCCCTAAGGCGCACCACACCGGGAACCTGAGATGCCCTGAAAGGCTTAAAAAGAACCGAAATAATATCCCCACGTCCACAGCAGCAAAGCAGAATTCTGAACCCACATACATGCAGTTACCCTGCCAGAGGACTCCCCCCAGGTGGAGGGAGCACGTCAGCTATCATAGAGGGCGAGAAAGTCTCCGGCCAGGACAAGGCGGGGCACAATAAAATAGCCTAATGTATTCTTTTCACCTGGATGGATGACAACAGGTGTCATCTCCTTTTGTAGGAGAAAGGTTGACTTTCCCTGTAATCAGGAAAAGTCGAAATTCCAGTTTGGCAGCAAGATGCTGCTTCTGTAAAATTCCGCTTGTTGCATCTAGCCAGGACACCCAGGCGCGGGTGTCATCCAGCCAGGACACCCAGGCGCGGGTGTCATCCAGCCAGGACACCCAGGCGCGGGTGTCATCCAGCCAGGACACCCAGGCGCGGGTGTCATCCAGCCAGGACACCCAGGCGCGGGTGTCATCCAGCCAGGACACCCAGGCGCGGGTGTCATCCAGCCAGGACACCCAGGCGCGGGTGTCATCCAGCCAGGACACCCAGGCGCGGGTGTCATCCAGCCAGGACACCCAGGCGCGGGTGTCATCCAGCCAGGACACCCAGGCGCGGGTGTCACAGTTCCTGCCAGTAAGATCCAAAAAGTAAACAGAACCAAACCAGCACAGCACATAACACACCTGCCTATAGACACACATCAAAACCGGAAGTAACGCTCCCATACAATTAGACACCCTCTGGTCAATTCTTAAAGCCAATGGTCTAAACCATGTTAGAGAAACACGTTATCACACAATCCACAGACATTCAGAAGACAATTGAGAACAACCTTTGGAAATTCCAACAAACAATATTATCACCTTCAGAAAACTGCCAGCCCACACAAGCCAGGTAATTAAGCAGAAAGTACAGAAAGTGATTTCTTAGAGTCAAATATCCTCAACGTACAATATACACGAAGATCCTCAACTCCGATTTCAGCTTGGCGAGTTCATCTGATTACCTCCATGGATGTGATAGTAATATCAACATGTTCCAACGACCAACAGGACTACAAATCCTACAATGGAATGCAAAAAATTGCAACACTTGCATTGCATAGCAGCAAAGACAGGCATGGACATCCTGCTACAACAGGAGAGCTTGCACCCAGACGGATTAGAACCTATAAGCTCAGGTTATCGAGGCTTATTTTAATGGGTCAACGGACAGTCCAGGGGCTGCGCCATGTGAAAAGTGACCTGATCGCCAAGCCCATACTCAGCCCACCTGACTGGGGCCGGGGACAGAGGTTATAGAAGTATCCATTGAGCTAAGACAACAAACTTGAAGTGTTTAATGTTTATAGGTCTCCACTGTTATTTGAACACGCAACCACCTCGAACACAATACATGGTGGTGATTGCAATGCTTATCATCACATCGTCGCCCAGTGGCACTGGGCGACAATACAACAAATGAGGCCGGCACGTAGCACCTTTACTAGACCCTAAACTGGATCCCATCTCATGTTGGAATTCCATTAAATAAGCTGATGAAACCGCTAATTGGGTAACTCGTCATCTAGTGATCCACAAACAAATCCAACCCAGCCTAGAGTACATAAAAACACAATCACCAAAAAACTTACCTCAACAAAGCCCACCTACAACAGAGAGTAGCAGAAGGTAACAGTAGCAGAAGGTGCGGCCTCTGCAATATGGTATCTTCACGCCAAGCTAAATAAGTTAAATATTCCAAAAGGAATCCACAGGGGAAATAGCAGATCTGTTAGATAGACTATGTCTAGGTTACAGATGCAACTGGGAGATTAGTGAACCCAGAGAGAACACATCTGCCAAACAATCACAGAAAGGCCACTACTTCACTATCTCCTGGAATGTGAAACAACTAACGACCTTAGAAGAGCTTTAAGAGTCCCTGAATCTTGCAGTAACCACCCTGATGCCATCAACACTGTCACTCTTCTGGTCACAAGATGTGTCCAGCAGCTGGACACCCTCATAGACACTGTCAAGCAGTACCCTCCCCTGCAAGGGCAACCAGATTGTAAGGACTGACAATGCAAATGTTCACTAGGCACAGTAAACAGCACACTAGGACCAAAGGCCTCCCAGTGGCCAGGAAAACCTGACCACCTTGTAACTATCCTTGCACAACCAAAGGTCACATTCACTCCAAACATCTAACATCTGTGGCAGCTGTTTGGCATGCCACCTCTTGGAGTGGCTCAATCAATCAGTCACTCGAGTGTAATAAAGTGTAGACCTCTCGTCGAGGAGATGGACCCACGTACACCACAACACACCCACCTGGCTGTCTGCTTCTTATCCTTAGTGGCGTTACTTCCGGAGCGATCCATGTTGGTGATCACTGTATCGCTACAGAGCTAGAAGAACGACGACTGTTCCCTGCTCACTCACTTACACAACTGGAAACTTGGCCGACCGTGGAGGCTTAAATACTAGGGTGTCCTGGGGATGCCACTAGCTTCTAGACGTCCCAATTCAATTGTTGTTGTTGTTTTAGATTCAGTTTCTCAGAACAAAAAGTTCCAAGTAGCACGGGCTATGGTGAGCTCTTAGTAAACGTATCTGGCACAGGAGCAGGGCTGTAACTGGTGCAATTCAATTCTAAAATTATTCATATATGGTTGTACATTTATAATTTAGTTTCCACAGAATCTTAGTGCATTATTAAAAAAAACAAAAACAATATCTCTTCTTAACTTATAATAAGTTTACAGGCAATAAACTACATATTAAAAGAGATGTCGCAGCTTAATTACCATACCTGAGCTACATCAAACATACTCTATCTTTGATTGTTTCAAGCTTAGATTAGACATATATTACATGAGTGAATTTGGGTGTATATAAGTAGGAGCTGCTACGTGTGGACCAATAGACTTTCTGTAGTTTCCTGAATTGTTAGTTTCTTATGTAATATTGTGAGCCCGGAGGCTAGTACAGAGATACTGGAATATCTTAAAAAGATTGACAAGACAACTAAAGTTGTTGTTGTTTTAGATTCAGCTACTCGGAATTTTTCATGTAGAAATTTATTTTTAATTTCAAAATTTTCATGTAGCACGGGCACCGTAAACAACTGAAGCGCTAGAAATGTTAGATATAGCAGCGAGAAGGAACAATGTGGGAAGGGAGACGGAGGAGTCAGATGAGTGAGAGGATGGAATAATACTGACGGAGAAACCCCAGGGTTTCTAGACCTCGTACCTATACGTAGCTACGAGGTGTAGCTCCTTAGACACAGAAGGAGGAAGTTCAAGTTCGTTTATTGAGGCTTTGAAATGCATCTCAAAGGGATAGAGTAGCTTAGGCTATTTCTGCCTTCGTCT